GGATCGGCGCATTCCCTTCAAAAACGAAAGTAACGTTAATCCTCTGCATCTTCAGCGGCTCAGATGTCGGAAGTAAAAGACTACTGTTTTGTTCATTATTACATCCAACAACAAAACACTTCAATCACTTAGGAGACATTCTTGTCTACATCTGCTCCGACAGTGAAACAATGGACTGATGACAGCTCACTCAGGGCGGGTCTAAGGTAAGACACCAGTCCAGTCTGTGCTGAAACGCTACTGTCAATCAAACAATCGTGGGATCAGCTCGATTTGAGAAAGGGGAAATAATTTAACGAGATAAAGAAAAACACTGGGTGGATCTTTATCATTATAGGGTGGTTGTGTACACTCACTGCCAAGACACATTTCAGTTCAAACAACTTGTAAAAGTGCATGTTGCATCCGATGACCCCTTTAAAGGTCAGCTATCTTCAAGGATCACCCCAAGATTCCTGGTCGATGGGATTATCATTGATGAGCATAGCTGGATGGTAAACTGATGCTGTACTGATGGGGTGGCTGGAAAGATGAGAAGCTCCATCTGTGATCCGAGCAGGTACCGTTGGATCATCTGGTTTAAATGAGAGGTAGAGATGCGTGTCATCAGCATAGCAATGGTAGGAAAAACCATGTGCCTCTATGATGAGAAAAGGAGGGGTCCAAGAACTGATCCCTGAGGAACCCCAGTAACCAGTTGATGTGATTTGGATACCTCTCCTCCCCAAGAAAATCTGAAGCACCTACCTACTTGCCAGTGAAGTGCAGTTCCAGTAATGCCCAGAGATTAGAGGGTGGACAGAAGGATTTGATGTTTAAAGGGTCATGAAATCCACTGTTTCAGCACTGGTTAGTTCTCACCACAGTTTTAAAAAACGCTAAAAAAGTGGGCATGGTGCGCTGCGGAGTGGAGGGGGAAGGGGGGAGACGGACAACTTCAGTTTCAATCAGTTTCATTTCGCTCCCATCGAGTTAAAAACAAATAAATGCACAGCCATTTGCACTCTGCGGCGAAAACATATATATGAACGTGCCGTTGCACCTCTGATAACTTTTAAGGCTTATTCTGCGGCGTTTATATAAGCCTTTTGACGGGTTGTGTCAAGGAGCTGTAAAAACGGTTACACTCACTAAATGAATTAATCACATTTGTACCGAACTCTTACTACAAAGCAAAAACAAACGCTCTCCTTCGATCCATGAATGTTTCTCTCAGTTAATGTACACGATCTCACAGTCTGAAGCGTCTGTCATAGCAAATCAACACATGCTGTTGTGAATAATTAAGCGAAGCGTCTTCTCATAGGATAAGAACACGCAGTCTATGAATAATTTAATACACACCGACGCGTCATCGATGTACTATAGTCTTTTGCCACATCACAAATTGGCCAAATGTTAGTTCGATTTTAAACCCGGAAGATGAAAATAACGCAAAAAAAGCATAAAATTAACCAGTTTTCTCCAACAATTAAAATTAACAGATGCTAACATGGTGTTCTATGATGTGCAACACAAACACCTCTGCTAAATTCTCTGAAAAAGTAGTCTGGGGTTTCATGACTCTTTACATTGTCGAAAGCAGCAGATAGATCTAGCAGAATGAGAATTGAAGATTTGGACTTAGCTCTTGCCCTCCGTAGCGATTCAGTGAATGACAGCAAGCCGGTGTATACATATTATTAATGTGTTCGTTAATGTATCTGTCTGACATCAGACCTTTGCAGAAGTTCAGAACAAAGTGCTTTTGCAGCAGTGTCATTTAATGGTATTTTTTGCATTGGGGATGAAGTTTGGAATTCTGAAAGTATGGGTGCGCCTCAATCAGCTCCCTATCTCCCGAGCTCGTGAATTAATAGATCGTGTACACGAATTCGGGCACTGGCAAGTTCCCTGACTCACTGCACGTTGGGACAGTGATCGCTCGAAGTCCAGTGACATGATTACGTACAGCGTCAACGCACAACACAGTAGAACATCATCACTGGAATTAATAAACAACAGGCAGGACCAATCTCATTTTGATATTATTTTTTATTCTCTTTAAACACATCATTCTGTTACATGTTCTTACAACATTTCAGCCGAATATTAATTATAAATGATAATTAGATGTGTTCATTACCTGTCTAGCGATGTGTGTTTATGTTGAAATATACTAAAAACGACATTATTTCCAGTAAGGGAGCGCCGATGCTCCCTAGTTTTTGGGGTGCATTGTGGGATTTTTCAGGGAGCAAACGTTCCAGTACACTGAAAAGATTTTGCGATTGAGACAGCCCTTAAAATGGCCGACTTCCTGATCAGTGCCCTGACTACTGAACAAGGGCTGATTGAGACGCACCCGGCGTTTTTATAGCACACTGAATCTTTCAAGTCAAAGGGCCAAATAAAATGTGGATTTTCATTAAATGACCCCTTTGAAAGAACAAGTTGTTTTTCTCTCATGGAATTTGTTGTGAGTGAAAGTTTCAAGATATACAGTTTAATCATTTATTTTACATAATTGCCTATTTTATAACTAATAAATGGTTTCTGGACTTGGAGGATACTCAGTGAGTGGAGTTAAAGGAATAGATTACCCAAAAATTAAAAATTAAAACATTCAAATACTATGGAAGTCAATGGGGACCAGGAACTGTTTAGCTGAAGAAATAAATGCATACAGATTTGGAACAACTTATGTTCCAATGAGTAATGACAGGCTATTCATTTTTCGTTAAAAAAAAAATAATGAAACTACTCGGGTCAAGTGATTAGGTATAAAATACCTGAAATTGGACTAATGAAAGCAAATAAGGAAAAGTGTTACCTCGCCATCCTGCCTCACTCGGAGTTGAAGAACAACAGCATTACTTTGTGTAATATCTCCATCTGGTGTTTTTCTAGGGTAGCACACTTTTTAAAATGTCTCCCTTTTCACGTGTTGTCAGATGTATACTTCACACATGGATGATCAGTTTTTCTCTGAGATTTTTTCTGGTAAGACTGAATATAATTAATATGTTGTATTATGGGTTTCATGCACTGATCTAGATCAGTGGTTTCATGCTATTATTTTTAGATGTGTGTGTGTGTGTGTATAAATATATACATCTTTTTTTATCAGTGGACCTACAGTTCTGTTTTTTAGTTGTTTTATTTCTTGTATTGTGAACTGCCAATTTCAAAGAAAGACTGGATTTATACATTTTTACATGTAGCGTCATGTACTTTGTCTATGTTTAGAAAAGTGAGGATAAGAACACACACGCACATCTTTATGTAGACTCAGTGCTGGTTCTTTAATGAGATGACTTCCATTAAAACATGAGTATAAAGCTCAAAACAATCAGTGCAGTTTAGGGTCTGCAGCTACTATTTGACCACGACAACAGCATGAGAACAAAATAAGAGTGGCAATAGTCTTTCATCAAACATCTCTGAATATTACATGATCACTTGTGCTCAATAAATAAAACAATTCAAAATAGTAATATGTTAATAAATACCAATAACAAAGACACATTCAACCATATAACACTGACAACAGCAGCAAACTTCCCTTTCATGAAAATAAAAATGAGCATAAAGCATATATAAAAGCATTCAGCTGGTTAAATAAATGGAAGAGAAGCATAACGTGTATAAATAATTTGTACTTTACGGTTTAATTCCGATTAAAATGTTACTTGTGCCCAAGCTGCCATGACAAAGGCACAGATACATATATTTCTCTCTGAATCTGAGCCACATGTATCATGGTCCACTCGTTCACATTTAGTCATTTCTTCAGAATGCAAGTCATATTATAGAACATGTGCTTCTTTGTCACAAAGTCACTCACAAAAATAAATAAATATATGTTAAGAATAAAATTAAAGATAATCTTTCAACTTTTTGGCTTGCCAATATTAATACATATCAACAGACATATTATTGGGGGAAAAACAGCATGACATTATGTGAAAGGAATAAAAACTAACAACAGGGAAAAAAAAGTTGGATTGTCATCAACAAACAACAAATGACCTTTGCATGTGGTGGGCTGTAGAGATACAAAGTAAAGATGCATATTCAAATGAAAACCATAGAAACCAAGAACTCAACACTGACAAATATGAACCATCAGTGATCTGGAAAGAATGACCTGGGACCTTGTGCATGAAACTATCTGGGCAACTGTGAATATGGACCAGAATTGATGAAAATTTGTTCAGTGCTCTTGAACGAGGTGTTATGAGCCAACTTCATTTACAACAGGGCAAATGTGTGTGTATAAACAGCGTATATGTGAATTATTGCGTGTGTAGGTGTGTGTGTGTGAGAGAGAGATTACAAAGCTGATCTAGCTATGATTATTTTGGCTGCTGATCACGTTTCCGCCTGGAGGGGCAATATGTATCGAGTCTAGGATTGGCCGCAACACCTGACCAAATGGCCTGAGAGAGAAAGAGAGCATAAAGTACTGTGAAAATCACACAGATCTTCTTACATAACTTTTCAGCACTGGAAATTTGACAGTTGAAAATGAGAGAACATCACAGTTATACAATCACGAATGGGTGAATCTCACAAAAACATGGTCAAGGTCACATCTCACTACAAAATCAACAGGATAAAAATTAAGCCTATTTTTAGGACCATTAAATGGATAGTTCATCCAAAAATGAACATTTTGTCATTCACGTTAAAGACAGAACCTCTATGAAATTTTTAAAAATGTCTTAGTGCAGGGCTGTCCAAACTCGGTCCTGGAGGGCCGGTGTCCTGCAGAGTTTAGCTCCAACTTGCC